CATGACCCTCAGATCCCCCCACCAGCACTGTGAGGTTCACAAGGGACTCTTTCTAACCCCTGGTCTGGAACAATGTCTGACACAAAATTTTTTTAAAAACTACAACAACAACAAAACAGGAGCTGTTGAATTGATTCTAACCCATGGTAACCCCATGGGTATCATACTAGACCTGGACTTCAATGGGTTTTTAAATGGCTGAGTTTTGGCAAGGAGATCATCAGACCTTTCTTCTGAGTTGCCTCTGGGTTGACTTAAACCTTCAACCTTTTAGTTAGCAGCTATTAACTATGAACTATTTTACCACTCAGGCACACACTAAACAAAAACAAAAAACAGTTGCCACTGATCCAATTCATGCCAGGTATGCAGAGTGAAACTGTACTCCAAAGGGTTTTCAAGGCTGTGACCTTTCAGAAACCGATTGCCAGACCTCTCTTCTGAGATGCTGAGGGTGGATTCAAACTGCCAGCCTCAATGTACAGTGTTTAACTATTTGTGCCACTCATGGATTCTAGGTAAACACACCAGGCCCTCATTAATATGCCGAATGAATGCATGAATGAATGAATGAACGAGGGCCTGCACTTGCTTATCCTGGGCAAAAACCCCCTCTCTCTGCCTCTCTACCTATCTCTGAAATCGAGCTAAGATGGGCATTTCCAGGAGACAGCGCAAGTCTGGCGGCTGGGCTGGGCAGCTCACAGATCGAGTGCAATCATGGGTGGTTATTATTATCCTTATCAATAACCCCACACGGGACTGTGAGTCAGCAGTTGGTGAAATCAGGAGGGGAGCTGTGGAGTCAGGCGAGCGGCATGCTGGAGCAGGGCTATTCTTGTGGTGCCGTTGGAGGCCTGTAATCACACCCAGGCAAGCGACAATAAAATCTGGAGTTGTGGAGGGCTGGCTCGGTTTTTTTTGGGTTTTTTTTAAGTTCCTCTCCAGCTCTCTCTCCACCAACGGCAGCCAGATTTAGGCAGCTTAATTAATTAGCTAGTGTTTATAAAGCGTTTGAAGAATTTTAAAAGTGCGATCTTAGTGCCAAATATTATTTTAATCTGTGTCTATGTGTGTGTATGTTTCCAGCAGAGAGCTTTCCTTCTTCCTTTCTTTTCTTTTTCTCTGCAGGTTCTGGAAATGGAACTGGTTAAAAATCACTCCTGTTGCCAGCTCCGGGCCTGGGGTCATCACACTGGCAGAGTTGACAACACCATTTCCTGTTCGGTCCTGCCCCAATGGCAGGAGAAGCGACTGTCAGAGGCCTGACAGGTTCCCATGAGAAGAGGGTGGCTGGACAGGCGTTCTTACATGTCGCTGGTGGGAATGGAGACTGGAATATCCTACATAGGTCCCTGGGTGGAGCATGTGGTTTATGCTTGACTAGTAAACTAAAGTAGTATGGCGCTGTGGGCTAAAGCCGTTTGAACTGCAAGGTCGGTGGTTCAAGCTCACCAGCTACTCCTTGGAAACCCTATACAGGGTCGCCATGGGTCGGAATCGACTCAACGGCACTTAACAACAACAGGAAACTAAACTATCCAATGGTGCTGTGGAAGAAAGGCGAGGCTAACTGCTTCTGAAAGGTCACGACATGAAAACCCTGTGGAGCACAGCTTTACTTCTCATCACATGGGGCTGGCATGACCATTTGCTCCATGTCTGGCGTGGGCAAGAGAAAGACCCTGTGGACTTGACCTCCGGTCTGCGGACTGGACACAGATTTCACTCACCAGAAACATGTGACTGGGAAAGCAATACGGCAGGCAAGATGTACCAAAGTGTCGAAACTGTGAACATGACTTTTTGACTAGGCTGGTCCACTGCTTGGACATTACTTCAAATATGGGATGTGTTTTCTGCATAACGATCTTAAAAAAAATAGGAAAAAAATCTCAAATGGTCAATGGTGGTGGTGGTGGTTATGTGCCATAGAGTGGGTTCTGACTCACAGCGACCCTGTACAGGGTTTCCAAGGCTGTAAATCTTTATGGAAGCAGAAGGCCTCATCTTTCTCCTGCGGAACTGCTGGTAGTTTCAAACTGCTGCCCTTGAGGTTCGCAGCCCAATTCGTAACTACTACGCTACCAGAGTGTCAATGGTAGGGAATGGTTAAGTGAATTAGGGTCTATTCCCTACTTGGAATTACAAGCA